CATTCAAAATGTTGCGACTATATAGATATCGAATTTGATATTTGATTCGTGATTTTCGGGCAGCTGCCCACGCAGCATAAACAAAATTCAGTCATCAGTGTCATAATCTAAGACATATAAGTGCATTTTTTAACTCAGCTGGCAAGTTCGTTGCTTGCGTTGAAGTCTTTCGTTTTGTTCGGTCGGTTTTTTTAGTACGTGACACTTCTGACGAGGCGGGTCAGCAGCTGCTATGTAGCTATAGCTATAACTGAAGCTGATGTCATGGCCAGGGCAAAAACAAACAATACTTTTTATTTCAGTTGCTTCCAGTTGCCTATTGTTGTTGCCATTCAGAAATAATTCTCTTTTGTATTGTTCACTTCCACCTGCCTTGAAGGTTCGAAACGGCTGTCATTGACTTTATTGTAACACATACCGCGACGTCTTATAATAAATCAAAATACCAAATGGCTTTCAACTACGGCTGAAAGCCGATGACGTGAGAATCTGTAGCCAAAGATGTGTGTATAGGGTAACAGACAGATACTTTCTTTGGCAAGGCTCGAAGAGAACGGGTGGCGCATGGGGGTCTGGGGCTTTGTTACTTAACGCCTGGGCGCCTTGGCTAAACATAAACCGATTCTTCTTCTTTTTTGTTTTGTTCATACTTTTATGGTAATCTGCCCAAATATAGCGAGCGCATCTGTAGCTGTCGGATACAACAAAAACACCTGAGCTGTGCCCAGCTAGAGCCAAAACGAGCTTTGAATAATGTGCAAAATTGCTTGGAAAATTAGCCGCAACTTATAATGAAAACGTTTGTCAGGCGTAATTCGACATAGATTTCACAGATTTCTTTTCATGTGTAGCTTTTTAGCTAGCGGCACTCTTTATTGCACTGTGAAAATGGGCTTGTAAGGGTATAATAAGCTAATTGAGTAAAGGATAAGCTGGCTAAAGAATTAAGAACAACTATTTTCAAGCATTTTTAGTTCAGGTATTCTATGCCAGCAGCAGTAGCCGCAGCTGACTCTTGATAACCAGTTATATCCACCTTTATATGCATACTCTAAACTCACAGATCTCAGAGATAATAAGAGCTAGAGAGAAATAATATGCAAATTTATTACTATGTGGATCCGTTTACCAAAAACAGCTCAAGTTTTTAACAAATACGCAGCCAAATAAAGAATCCAGCCGAACTAAAAAGATTTGTTTCTAAGACTTGGCATAAGTTTACTAAAACATGGCTTTAGCGTATTTCAAAGCACTTTATAACCCTTTAATGATAATGCAAAAGTTACTCGAGAAACTTTAATCAACTTTAGAATATTTTACAGGGCAACTGACAGTCGCGTACGCTCATTTCGAGCATTTCTGCTTGCTTAAGCCATAAATTTATGAATTATTTTTTGTTGTGCTTAAATTGAACAATTGAGCGCGCAGCTTAACAACAACTAAGTATTTCCAGCTGACGGAAGTCAGCAAACATTTTAAAGTCAAGGCAAAGGCCTGTCAGAACTTGACTGTTCGTATACCTCAGCTACAATAGAGGTAACTCCACGTGCCACTCCCCCATTGAAAAAAGTCTCAGGTTTTGTGGGTGTTCCATAGATCACAGCGATTAGTTTTACAGCACAATTTATAACTTAATTATAGCTAAGCAGCGTTACAAACTGCCGCCGGGTTTGCTGGCAAATTACTGGCAATTTATTGGCATCGGCTTCGCTTTGAATTAAACATTTTGTGTTTTGCACATTGACCTATAAAATGCGCCATTTAATTGAATTTAACGCAAAAACGGACAAACACCCAACACAAAACACAAAACAAATAACAATGCGCATATTTATGCAATTGCCGTATAAATAGGCATTATGTCATATTTGAAATTCAACCGAAGCGCGATCTCAAATCGAGATTTTGATTAGACGCCCAAAGTAACAGTTTCTGAGTTGGGTGCAATTTGAAATGCAAAATAGCACAATAAAAAAATTCTCAATTCAGATCAAAGTAAAGTGAACTTAATTTTTGATTTGTGATAAATTATATTCAAAAGTGCGTTATATGATATAGCATTTAGACATGTTTACTATATGGAAGCCTACATACTAACTTACAGAACTCTAGCTCTGATTGTCTCTGAGTTCAGATAGTTAGCACATCAATTAAGGGAATATAGCTCTAATAGTTTATAAGGCAATGTCTATCAATGTGTATAAGCTAAACGCATTTATTAAAATTAAGCCTAAAGATTAAAGTTTGCCTCAACACATAAAATTTAATTTGATGGGCGTGTAGCTGAAAATCTACCAAAATTCCAGAGCTTTGAAGGAAGTTTGATCAGAGTATATATACGATTTTGTAGTATTGTCTCCCACCTTTTCAGAGTTCAAAGAGTTTATTCGGTTAGATATTACGATATTCCAATATGATTAAATAGTTTATCCAGTAAAATATTGCAGTCGATATAAAAAGGGTTAAGCGCAAAATATTCCTTATACAATTTGGGTTCGATTAAAAAATAGAATCTTTTTGCCAAATGCAGTGAATAAATATGTTAAGTCTCTGAGTTCGCTTAGCTCTTAGCTCCGGTTGCTGGAATCAAGATAAGTATGAAAAAATATATGTCCATATAAATTTGGTTAGCATTGCCTTAAAGTTGCGTACCGCTGGCCCCTTAAAATAACTTGCACAACTTGATTATACCCTTCTTTTTCTTTTTTTTTTTCTTTTTGTTTTGCCGTACCATTTTTGGGCTATAGGGTATATAAACATATGTGTGTATATAATAAGATGAAATGTCCTTTTAAGTCGCGTTCACAAATTTGCATTGCGTACAAGACGAATGAATAAATGACATCAGCAACTCAAATACAGATACAGAGATACTCAGATAGAGATACAGATACAACGAGACCGAGACACCCGCAACTACAGGCCGCAATATACATAAATCCTTGGTTAACGACAATTGCCAAGATGGAGAGGGGCAAAGTGGTTGCGAGACAAAAAGAAATAATAAATAACATAAACAGTAAATGACGCGCGATTGAGTTTCACATTGTCAAGTGATTTACAATTCGTTTTGCCTCAATTGAATCAGCAGCAACAGTTGATGTTGTTGCTGTTGTTGTTGTTGTTGTTGTTGCTGCTGCTGATGTTGCCTCATGGCCGATTGTTGTTGCTGGCTGCCACCGCGGCTGACTGGCAGCATCATTGAGCATTTATGCGCCCCATCGATCAATCCGAGCCGCCGCCGAACGCATCGAACACAACAGCAGCGTTCGATGCGGCATGCGCCGTCACAAATTACGAAATACCCGAGTTTTAAATTGCATCTAGTTTTGCTGTTGCTCTTGTTGTTGTTGTTGTTGTTGCAATTGCATTTGTTGTCATTGCTGTTGCTGACACACATTGCGACTGGAAGCCAGACTTGGAGACGTACGCAGAGCGGAAATGTGCGACATGACCGATGACTAAGCGCCCCAAGCGAGCCCCGAGCCAAATTGATTTCGAGTTTAGAGCTAAGAGTTGATTTAACTAATGAGAAACTAAGAAAAACAATCATAGAAAACTCTAAGTTAAGCTAGTATAAGCTTTAAATAAGTTTAAGCTCAAAGTTGACACGCACAAATTAGAACAATTCTCTTAATTTCTGCTAAAGCTGATCAGAAAACGAATCATGATGCAATCTAACACAAATGCAATATTTTCATATAATTTACAGATAATAATTGGAATTGGTGTCACATAAATCTATTCTTGTGCTTGGGGCTAACAAATGTTGTATTTAAATTGTGATTTATTTAAAAATGGTTACGTTAATAACAAATTGAGAGCAATTATTATTGACTTTTAACTTGGCTTCGCCTACTAAAGATTTTATGCAATATTCGCTGATTGGTTTATTTAGAAATCCATTCTCGATATTTCGTTAACAACTTCATTATGCAGGGACAGACTCTTGTCAGCTACTCGGGAACCTTTTAGGCGTTCCATTCGTTCAAGTGTGGTTTTTTGGCTGTGTAGGTGGCCCGGTCAAGTGGCTGATTTGTGGCGGCCTTGTGGACAACAACAACAACAGTTGACGAACTGTAGCAGCCACTTGGACTTGGTTATGTGTGTCAGTCAGCGTAGTAGACACTGCTGCTGCTCCGGCTGCTGCTGGTGGTGATGAAGAGAAGGTAAACTGGCTGCCTTAAATGGCAGCGCCGCGTTCGCCAAAATAAGTCAACAGAGCCGGAGAGCTGTAAAAATAGCAGCTGGCTGGGTAGGAGTAACTCACAAATCGCCACAAAACTGAAAAGCAAAACGCACACAAACTGAATGATCCGAGTGTGTGTGTGGGCCGAGCTGAGCTGAGCTGCGCTGCAGTCGTTGGCTCAATGAATCGATGGCGAAACTATAACAGAAACTATATGAGAAAAACGCCCAAATGAAAACGAATTTGTTGTGTGAACATTGTTAACGATCTCACGAATTGGGCGGCCAATTTGAGGGTCACCTTCGCCCAATTGTTGCGTGTGGGCGCAGCGCTGCTTACCTTGAGGCTGTCGCCATGTTGGGCAACATTTTATGGACCTGCCTACAGTTATCCAACACTTGCTCCATTTACACGAAGACCAGTTGTGACGAACAATTGCCTACTAATATGCAGCGAGTAAATAAAGTAACGAGAATTCTACTCTTGGGCACGTAACAAGTAAGCAAAGTAACGAGAGCGTTAGCAAGTAACGAGTAGGCTGAATATCGAAAATGAATCGGAAGACTGACTATATGCTGAGAACTAAGAAAACCCAATTCATTTATGCTAAGCCAAATGTAACGAGTAGGTGGAATAACAAGCTAGGCAAGTAGCCATACTCGTTACTTCGTTCGGCTTAATACAGAAAATGTAACGATTAGAGTGGTTCACAGTTGTGATGAAAAGGATAACAGGTATACTTGTGTCCGGGCAAAATTTGCTCATTTCACGTTCAACTATTTATAGTGAGTAACGAGAACGTTTCACTTACCTGGAAATGCAATATAATAGTCCAGATCAAGCCCAGCGTTAGCTTGGGATTACCATCCACAATGTCCTCAGCACGTATGTTGACCAGTTTGATCTTTTTATAGCGCAGAAAATCCAACGCCATTTGTGCGTTCTGCAGCATGTGGAAACGCATTTTACCCTTCTCTCGTGGCTATTGAAAGGAACGAGTAAGAAAAACAACGAGTTAAAAAAGTAAGTTTGAATAACAACATGCTAAAGCTGGTTGCTACAACTTACCAGGTGTTCGCCAGATAGCACCTCCAAGAGTGAAAGCAAATTGTGACCATCGCGCAAATCCTCAAACAAATCCACAACTCGTCGATTGGCCTATGGAAGTGGAAAATGAAACAAGTTAAACGACAGCTTAAAAGTAAAAGTTGAAGGTTATATGCATGCAGGGTGTCAGATTGTGTTTACAACGATTTTGTATTACGTATTTGATATTAGTGGGCGAGTGCATTTAGTGAAGAAAACAACAACGAGCAAAAAGAAAGCAAAAATAACCTCTATTTTACAACATCTGTGTACAACATCTCCTGATATGCAATATAACTATGCATAAAAAATAAGCATATGAACTATAATAAAAGTGTTTTAAAAAAAAGTTTTTTATATTTAAAATAATTTGATGCAATTAAAGAAAACCAGTTTAAATTTAAATAAATAAAAAATAAATAAAATCGCTATGCAATACAAAAAACAAATATATGCACAACATTTAAGGAAAGCTTCTTGAACTTGCAACTTACAGACTGTGTACAACAGGGTATACCATTTGTGGTAACACAAACATGTAGCATGGTATAGGTCTGTAATATAGTTTATAGGACTTAATAATTGAAATATTTGAAAGGAAAAATTTAAAGATAGAAGTATGTGCTATATGGAAACTATACCTTGGCATACTTCCAATGCTGCTTGTAATTAAGAGAGAGAAGAAAGGAAGTTTGGTTAAAGGGAAATTGATCCTAAATAGATCCTAACAATTGCTCATACACGGTGTACATGAGGATAGTTTGAGGTGGGTTTTATATGGAGCACTTTTGTTATGTGGATGATATCTGGGCTCTGTTGTGCACTCACCTTTTTAAGATGTTTGTTAACCCATTTTGTGAAAGTCTTCTTTTGAATGGCATCGCGTTCGTCTGGCAGAGAGAAACGTGAAAGGTTTAAGAAAGGTTTAAATTAAACTCGTAACCATAACAAAGGTAAACGTAATACAAATTATTATTATTATTTTTATTTTTTTGTCGGTTAGGATTCATGCAACTGCAACACATTCGAGTTAGGTCTGAAACATTCAATTAAAAGAATTGAGTAAAATAAATAAATTGATATCATCTGCAGACGCTGACGACATCAGCGTAAATTGCTGCTGGCTTGAAAATTTTATAATTTATGGCAAGAATGACGCCTACTTTTAAAACAATAAAAATAATCAGAATCAAATTTGTATCCATAATAACTATATTTAATCATATGCAAGTATTTGACGCGTGGGCGCTGAATTATGGCCTAAACTTTTAATGAGCTTGTTTGTACAAATGTTAGTGTTTTTTTTTTTTATTTAATTGAACAATTCATTTAACTTGGCTACGTAATTAGCCTCAAGCAGCGTACGTTTGTCAATTGTCTGTATAAATCTCAGGGCCTCAGGCATTGACTTTGGCCAAAGTCCGATAAGGCTAACAATCTGATAAGTTTTTGACTTGATTTGTCGGCCTATAAATAAGCGCGCAGTTGACCACAGTTAAGGTGATGGACGAGAGAGACAGAGAGAGAGAGAGAGCAGGGGGAAGCCAGAAGGGCACGACGGCAAGCAGAGAGCTAGAGCAAGCGCCCTATCTATAGATAATGACATAAAGCCCGTACGTAGGACGAGTTTTTCGCTTCGATTAGATTCGAGAGCAGCGCAATTAGTGTCAAGTGAATCTATACATTATATCATATCAATCACAAAAAATCTGGTTTTCTATAGAATTAAATCTAATCGAGCGTGTTCAGCAATTAAACTGAAATAACAAAGGAAATCTAAGGCTCATATCATACGCATTTTGTATGACTCATAATGGACTAAGCCCTTTAATATATATATATAATATCGCAGGCAAACAGTTTTGTTCATTGGGAATAATACAAAATGCTCAAGATAAAAGACAAAGTCCTCTTTGGACTAGATCTGTACATGTATTTTTTTATGAATAAATAAAAGTAAAATGAACCTCTTAGTTAAATCGTTATACTGAATGTGATCTCTTTTAAAAATTATTTTCTTCTTTCAAAATTTAACTTTTGAGTATTTTTACAGATCTTTTAAAATATTTATCTAGTAATAAATAGGATATTCTCGTAGTTCTGCCATCCCTTCCCTGAACTAATATCCATTCTCTATTAAATGTACTTCCTGCACCGAATGACTGGCAAATCTCAAGCAGATCTCAAGTGCGGAGAATTCTTATATCACATAAAGCATATAAACAGAAATCTTAAGACTTGAAATCTAATCGAATATATGTGCGTAGCGCTTGTGTGGAATAATAAAGCGAATTGTAAATCCACAAAAAAAGGTAAAGAAAAAACAAGGCGAACAACCCATCAATAGAAAAACAAAGTTCAGCGTCCATTTGACTGATACCAAGTCGAGTGTTAAGTTACCTAGTAATAGTGGTAAATGAAGTTTTACGGTTAATAAACCCGATAAATTGTAGTGCAGGGCAAATAAAGAACAAAACAACAAAAACAAAACACAGGAGGCAAGGCAAGCAACAACGTTGAGAAGCAGAAACACAAAAGCAAAACAAAGAGTGCAAAAAAAAAAATTGACTTTTATATAGAAATCGCACAATAAAGAACGTTGGAAGAGCGACAAGTAAAGAGAGTTGGAGAGGGAGAGAGCGAGAGAGGGAGAGTTAGAGAGTTGTAATAAAAAGAGAGAGAGAGAGTCACTCTTTTTGGCATAGTCTTTCTCTCTCCCTCTCTCACTCTCTCTCTCTCTCTTAACGCTCTTTTTGACAGTGTGTGTGTGTGTGAAGGCTGTTAACGTGTTATTAATTGCGTTTGTGTTTGTACTAATTATTGCTGACTGAAAACTGCCACAGACCAAGTTAAAGTTCTGCTTAATTCGCTAATGACTCACGTCACAAGTGTGCAAATCTCTGTTGCCATGCCCCTTGCAGCCGCCCGCCCCCTCTAAAACAAAAACAAAATACACATTCATTCAAGCTAAGCCAAGCCCATTCAAAGTTTTCTGATTGCCAGCCTGCGGTTACAGTTGAGTTGTTTTCTTATCGGAGAAATTAATTCTCAACCAAATTCTAAAAAAAAATTACTCAATACTAATAATAGATATTTATCGATTGTTATCGATAAAAACACAAATTTAATTAATTATTCCCAAACTCCACAGGCTTATAGAGAAGATTTTCAACTAAATTCAAGCTAACTATTTGTAAAAGTTTGTAATTTAGCTTATTCCGATATATTGAGACTTACATTAAGCAATTATCGATTTATTAAGGTTAAGGTTTTATCGATATTTATCGATTATTATATGGTGCTTATTGAAGGTGAAGAAGAATACTAAGAATTCTTAGTATTATGGTAACATTTGTAGTTGTTCGCTATGAAAGGGCAAAATGTTTACCAATCAGAAATCAATCCATTTTTCAGCTATCGATTGTTATCGATAAGTACGATAACTATAATTACGGATTTTTTTATTTTCAACTAAATTGTTTACTATCGATAATAATCGTTAGGGATTCATTAGCTGAGACCTTTTAAGATAATCTGGGAGAAACTTTTTGTTAGCCAATTCAAGTGTAATTTTGAATAGTTATCGATTGACACAGCCGAGGCCATCTACACATTCCTAACTGTAAGTGAAATTTATAAATTTATAATTTAAAACCCCAAACGAGGCATTTGCATACATTCATAGCCATATTAACACACACATAAACAAAATACGCTTGAATACGCCTTCACAAGCGCCGAATGCGCTGTTAGCACTTTTAGAGTTGAACTAGTTTCTGGCATAAATCTAGTCTAATTTATGAGATGATTATGAAAATCACAAAAGAGCCAGATAAAGTGCTTAACTATAAGTATATCAAATTTCATAAATGGTTTAAATGGTTTTTATAATTTCAATCGCCAAGCGGATGTGATGTGGGAAATATCCAAAAATTTGAATTAACTTTCAGCTACATTTGATGCACATTTGAGTAGTAATAAATGTTGACTTTAGGCTTCACAAACCGGCCTTCAGTTAACACCTCACTATATCTATGATTTGAACCCTCTTTCTGCTACTTTTGACTTATTTAAATAACTGAGTCAGTGGGACAATTTCTCATCTGTTGAAGGCTACAGGTGATAAGAAATCTTAACACCTTTTTTTATGGCGCTTGCTTAGTATGTTTTCCCTGTTAAAGCACTTTGTAATGTCCACGCTTTAATGCCCACTTTATGATTACAGGGTACAATAAGTTTATCATTTCGAATAACCCACACACACGCACAATTGCAGCACCAGTCAGCATATCAGAGTTTATAAATTTATAAATTTCACTTCAATTTGACAACACGAAAAGGTGTAGAATAGATTGAGAGTGTGTGTGTTTGTGTGCGAGTTTGTGAGAGTGTGAGCGTGTATGTGTGTGTGTGTATCTCACACACACAGCGAAGCACGCTATCTGATATTCCAGGTGTTTGTTGTTGCTGCTCGTGAGCGCGTGATGATGTCACGTTCTAAGTTGAATTCGTTTGCAAGATTGAATGTTTGTTAACGTATTTTCTTGTTGTTAATGTTGTTGTTTTTTTTAGCCGACTTAGGTTGGCGTCTTAAGCAACGTATTTGAAGTTCGTTAATGTTTATTTTTGCATTCTGTCGTCGCGCTTTTTGATTAGCGCCGTTCAATGTCAGCGACAAGCAGCGAAGGACGTTGATTGACCACAACAACATAAAACAATAATAATAGTAATAATAATAGTAACAACAACAATTTTGCAAGCACTCATAATTAGTAGGCTTTCTACTTGAGGCTTAGATAAGCATTGTTTTGGCTATTCGTTCATTAGGCAAGTGCCTATAAATAAGTCTGGGCTGGAAATTTCTTTAGTTTTTACTTCGAATACCCTACAATCAGGTCAAGTATTTAATAATGGGTATGACATCTCGTTCTTTCGTGTGAACACAATGAAAACTCGACCTTGTTCCTTAGACTCTGCATCCTGTAAAATCAGGGGTAGCATTGACTTATGCACAAAAAATGACTTAATGCAGCTACAAACTACAGACACCCTTAAGGCATCAAGATTTTTTCGAACTAGTTCTCTTGTTCGAGCTTAACGAATATATGAATTAGTTCTTAGATCATATATATACCCTATTTGAACTAGATTCTCTACCTAAGCAAGGCTTCAAGACCTTTTCGATCACGTTTTTCTGAGGAAGCTAAAGGAATTCGTGAATTAGATCCCCTATTGGAACTAGTTTCTCTATCCGCTCAAGGCATTAATACCTCGATCTAGTTCTTTTTTGAGAGCTAACAGAATTCGTAAATTGGATTTTCAGATTCCAAGGATCATAAATACTCTATTTGAACTTCTATCCGTTTCTCGAGCTGTAAGTATGTACGTATCTGAACGTATGATAAAGCTCCTAAACCAATGTGCAGGGTATTTGTTGGTCACACACTCACATAATTCTCTTCCAGGCTTAAGCTTTGATAAAATAATATAACGAATCGGTCAGAAGTATTTTCTAAACACATATATAGCCTATATACACACATTATGGCACTTGATGAGCGCAAAGTTCAGTTCATTTAATGAAGGTAAACAACAATACAAATTTCAAAGGCATTTATCATATGGTAAGCGGTCCCATCAGCAAATTAGCAAATTGGTAGGCAATATCGAATTTCCATAGTTAACAGTTTCCACAACACAAACAGAAAAATAAAAAATAACAACAGATTTGTGTCCACATGAAACAAATGTCAAATTAATAAAGAAATCAACATAAAAAGCTCGTAAAATTGTGTTTTAGAAAATCATAAACTGGTTTACATATGTGCACAGACTTATTTATGCCTACACACATATGTATATACTTATAATACTCAGACGAAATTCGAGGAATTCTGTATACGACTAATTTGTTTAAGCGGGAGAGTTAATTGCCGCAGTTTGTGGCTTTGCTTTTTGGGGTTGACCAACGGCGACCAAAAGAACCAAAAATGACAACGCAACGACGACGACGACGACGACGAGTCGTCAGTAACCAGTTTTCAAATATTTACGCGCAATAAAATAAATAAAAATAAAATAAATATTTTTGGTGCTGAAGCAAACGTTAAAATAATATTGACATAGCTTTGCATACGACATGGGTACGACGACCGACCCACCTAAAAATAAGAGTCGATCCAAAAACCATATACTTAGTTGGTGGTGAAATGTTTACTGCAAACATGGGTTGGGCTTTGAACCACTCTTCGGCGTCCATAGATTTCATGCTCAGGGTCAGACAATCGAAGTGCTTTCATAAACGGAAAGGTGTCAAATCGTTTCTCTGCGGTATCTTGCATATTTATAAGCTATATTTAATTTATGATTAGTTCGCCTGACTTTGCGGCACGACCTTGAACCCTGAGCAGCTGCTAAAAGCCAGAGACCGTATCATAATTAGAATTAGAATTATGCAAGCATATTTCTCTAATCGAGATTTTGTTAAGCATTTGCAAATGCAAATCATTTCCGCAGGCAGCATTTTTAATAGCGCTTTTGTTAGTTGAACAACTAGCGAAACTGTCAAGATGAGATACGGGAAATAAGCAACTGACGAGTAGCGAGTAGAGGACAAAAAACAAGAAGTATAGAATGAGTCTGAGAGATGTTGTTAACTAAACAACAGCCAAAACTAGCCAAAAGGTAGCCGAAAACAAAAACAAGTGGCGAGTAGAGTCAGAAGTAGCGAGTAACGAGTTAAAATGAGCGAGTAGAGAGTAACGTGTCTCTTTTTAAGGATTAACAAGTAGCGAGTAACGAGTAAGAAGTAGCGAGTAACTGTAAGTAAGTGAGGTTTCTCTGTCAAGTGATTAACAGTAACGAGTAACGAGAACGTTCCCCGTTCTTTATAGCTTTGTTTCGTACAACAATCGCAGACTCTGGGAAACACAAACTCGCAAGTAAGGCGTTGCTTAAATAGACCTGAAAAACTTGAGACTCTTAGCAAAGCGAATAACGAGTAACGAGTAGCGGATTAGAGTTAGTTGAACAACTGAATAAACTGCCACACGCAATTAGGCAGCGAGTAGCGTGGAACAAGTAACGAGCAAGGACCAACGAATAACGAGAAACTCGTGTGCTGATAAAATGAACCTTTGCCGACTTACGCATAATATCCCAATCTTCTATAAAATGATCCCAAATGGACATGCTACCTTTAAACTGCGTCAACGCATCCTCGTAGCCGCCCTGCGGCTGCGCCTGCGTTGACGAGTGTTTGGCCTTTTTGGCCGCCGGACTAGCCTCGATCAATCCATGCGAATGCCGATGCTGCTGCTGCTGCTGCTGCTGCTGATGATGATGATGGTGATGATGATGATGACTGCTGCTGCTGTTGCTATGGCCATTGGCATACAATTCTCGATCGCGTTGCTCCCGCTGCACCTGATGGTAGTCAAGGGTGCCGTTGCCACCGATGCCGACGCCGCCTCCAGGCGATACAGAGATTCGTGCCGGCGATGCGGCTGAGCTGCTCGTTGTGGTGGCATGATGATAGCTCTGATGATGATGGTGCGTCTGCCTGGAGCTGCTGCGTTTCATCGAATTGCTGCCGCTGTGATGATGTGGACTGGCATTGCTTGGCTCATGCTGCTGCTCGTTGGGATCGAAGCCGAGACGATCCTTATAATAGGAATGCGATGTCATCTTGCGTTGTCATGTAGCGGCACGTTGTGGCACTTGGAAATACTTTCGCTTGCGCGTGTATTTTTGTTTTTTTTTATTATTTTTAGCACGTTTGTTGCAGTTTGGTATTGGGTTTGGGTTTATTTTTTTGTGGATGGCACTTTGTGATTTTATTTTTATTGCTCCGCTGACTGACTGATTGACAAAACGAAATTTAAGGCTAAAGTTGGAGTTGTCAGCTCTGCGGTGAGATGCAAATTAGCCGCATGAGTCAGCGTTACGTACTTGAACGTGAAATCAACGAATCGAATTGCAAAATGAAACAGAATAAAAATCAAGTGCATTAAAATACAAATTTAAGTAAAAGTTTTCTCTCTCTCGCTGCGTGAGGAAGTCTATTTGCGAATCTCTCGATGCCGGCATTTTGTTCCAATTGGCCGACAGCCAAAAACTGAGCCGCCGGCCACGCAGCATTTGTATCTTTACACATGCTTGCGAGTATCTTTTGTATCCGTGTGTTTGTGTATCTTAATGTGCGGTTTTTTGCAAGTGACAGACGACTTGCTGTTTCTGCATTTTGTCGTCCGGCTCTTGAACTGTCCCGACAAACTACAGACAATTGACAAAAAGAAAATAAATGAGAGCGAGAACGAACAGACAGAAGTTCAAATACCCTACACAACTATACAAAATATGCTGTTGTCTTACTTTGAAATATAGATTCATCTTCTGTACAAAATCTCATTGCTCTTTTGAATATTTCTAGGCAACTACTAACTAAGTTTATCTGATGACTTTCAGACTTTTTTACATTTTTTAAAACAACTTTTAAAAATGTAAATTGTCTATCTACTAATACTATCTTCATCTACTTTTAAAACCCTCCTGAAACTAAACGATTAATCTTATTCGAATAGATTTAGCTTTTTGTTTTTTCTTAACCGTGCTAATTTTATTTGTTGCTCTTTTCAATTTAATAAGTTTTTTGCTAATTTTTATCGTTCAGCATCCACTTAAATTAAAAGAAAAAAAAATCATGCTAACTTTTCGTCAATTTAAATGTCCTTCATGAGCTTATAATTCGCCTGCCCTTTCGAAGGGTATGTAGAAGGGCGCAATATTTTTCTTAGCGTTTAGCTTGGGGTGCGGTTCAGGGCGCAAATTGAAATTATAAAGATAAATTGAAATCAGACAACGCAGCTGCCGCGACAGATAGAGGTACAGCCAGATACAGATACAGATACAGATACAGTGAGTGTCGCAGATACAGATACAAATGGGCGAGTAAAAGCGAGCAATGCTCTAAAATCGTTTGTCTCTTGCCTCTTTACTTTGATTTCTTTTGTTGCACTTAAAACTCAACAATGACAATCAAAAAAAAAGATTGTACTTTCATTTGCGACAACTTCGCTCACTTTTTTATTTTCGGGTGCTTATTCAATTCGTATTACAAATGGAATTTCTTTTGATTATTATTTTGTTCATTTTGCATTCTCGACTGCATGAGGTCAGCAGCTGGGGTGACAGCAACTGCTGCTGCTGTTGCTGCCGCTTTCTTTCAACTTCCAACTTCCATAATAAATGTATAAATAACAACATAAATAATAGCACAAACACGCAACACGCAGCTGGCCAATGAGACATGCTGTCGCGCTGATTAGATACCGAGCCCAGTCAGTGAGTAGCCTCCCAGCACTCGGCGATAGATACTAGTACAAATATCTTTTGAATTTCTCTCGTGTCTGTCTGTCTGCTTTTTTTCAATTTGTTTATTGCTTCTTTTTGTTATTGTGCATTGTTTTTAGTTTTCACACAGCAGAATATGTGAGTGTGTGTGTGTGTGTGTGGACCCTTATCAAACGAATTCGTTTTGCATTGCACTTTTACTCAATTTTCTATTATTATTACATTTTTTTTTTTGGGCAATTGGTTATGAATAATTTGTTAAATTTCAATGTTAATTTCTTCTTTCTTTCTTCAGTATGTTTTCACTGTTAATATTTGATTTGTTGTATTATTACATTTTTGTAATTTGCTTTTGCTTTTGTTTTTGTTTTTGTTGCTTTGTGTTTTCATTCACATGCAAAAATTCACACAATAACTCATAAAATGTGTTTCTTGTTTACTAATTTTCACATCACTCATTTCTCTCGCACTTTTTCCAACACTGTGTGGCACAGTTATTTTTGTCTCACATGTCTTTTTCCAGCGGTGTTTTTATGCTGTTTTGCCTGAGCTTTACTGAGAGCACGCTCAAATTGCATTCTAAGGCAACAACAAAACGGTGCTTCGATTTGTGCTGCATTCATTGTTCTAAGTCAGTGAGCGCAAAAGAAAAAGAGGAAGGGACAGAAAGAGAAGGGGAGAGAGAGAGAGAGAGAGAGAGCGAGAGAGCGAGAGTGCGAGAGAGCAGAAACTATGTCTGGCATGTGTGCAAGGAGCCTCAAGAATGTGGCATACAAGCAAATGTAAAAACTACACAGGTAGACGGACTTTCCAGTTGAGACTCTGGAGACATTGCGTTTGGCATGACTAATTTGCGGGCAATTCAACTGGAAATCAAATCTTTACAGCAACAAATGTGCGTGCACGCAGGCGCATAACAGAACAAAATCTTGAAAAGGTAGCGCAAATGCCGAAAACGAAAAAAAAATAAAGAAAATAAAAAAAAAACGAACACACACAAAAAAAACTGGTTATTGAATGAAAAGCCAGGCTACAAAAATGGCAAAAACAGCCACAAAAACAAAATCAACCAAAGCTAAAGAAGTTTCTTGAGCGTCTTTTTGGAGCTGAGACTTGGCAAATATTTGAAAAATGCACACACACACACACACATGCATATATGCTTGGAAGGAACTAAACAAATACAGCTGCAAGTTTCCAGTGCGTTTGTTTTCTGAGTCTGATAGCAACAGGCAACACACACTCATTCGACCATTTGGTTCAATCGATTGTTTTTAGTCACTATATTTTATAGTTTTTGTATACGCACTAAAGATAAACACACTTTATTTTTATATAAGCTTTGGGAATTGTAGAAACTATTACGCTTTTTTTTTAATTCTTTTTCTGCGCACTTTGCACACTTCTTCACACACACGACAACTTTATTTCGCGTTGTTGTTGTTGTTGTTGTAGCTGCTGCTTAGGGCTAAGTTAGAAAAACGGCTGTGCGTTGGCAGCGGCAGCATAAATTTATAAATCGTTGTTGTTGCTGTCGCTGCTGCTGCTGCTGCTGTCTGTTTGGGCACTCAAATAACGTAAAAATTTGCTTGCAGAGGACGCCAACCGCTCGGTATCGTTGTTCAAATTGGACTGAGAACACCGTCAGAGCGCAAGCAACGATTTTGAATGGGTGCCGCACTGCGAGCATTGAGTGCATGCATGTATGTGAGCTTGTGTGAGTGTATGCGTGAGCTAAGCAGGTGTAGCGCTGCGGCCAAACTCTCGCGCGCTCTCAATCTCTCTCCTGCTGTCTGTGTGCGTGTTTTTGTATGTGGGCCGAGCGCGATCGTGGGAGCGCCGGGGCTTAAGCTCTTTGAGTGCGTGAGCGAGTTGCGAACTGTGTCTGAATGACCCAAGCAAAAGACTCACTCAAATAAAAATGCCACATATTTGGTCAAGAAATTTGTTGTGCGCTTTCAGCTGCGGGTCTTTAATTGCGGCAACTGCGGGCTCGATTGGCAGCCGCTTATAGCAAAAAGCTGCGCTCTAGCATGTGGGCTGGCAAAATACAAACAAAATATAAGAAATTTAAAAAAAAAGAAGAGTAGAAAATAAACCGCTAATGGTCATGGCCGTTAATAAACAAAAAGCCCTAATTTGGCTCGCAGCTGAACGGGCTAATAGCTGCGCTTCCAAAAGAAAACTAAGCGCTGGCTATTCAGCTCGACGCCGCGCGAGAGTTTTTGGCGCTCTCTTTAAGTACACTCACTTCCTTATTGCACTGCACGAAAATAGCCACAAAATGAACTTAGCAAAATGTAAACAAGGCGGCAACAGAGGGCGCGATGCGGGTGCGAAAACTGGAACGCCGCTAGAATTGAGTGCTGACCAAAAAAAACTATTATACTGCGGTTGTGTGTGTGTATATGTGTGTGTTTGTGTGTTGTTATAAACATAAGCAGCTAAAGCAACAAAAAAACAGCGAAACAAATCCATGAGGTGTAAAAATAGTAAAAGAATCCATAAAAATGTAGAAATGCAGCCAAACAAATAAAAACCGAAAGAGAGCAATGCAGGCTGAGAGCGAGAGAGTGCGCGAGAGCGACTGCCAAAACAGCTGAGCGACTACAAATCACATTGCGTGTGCGTAAAGCACTTTGCGCAGCGTCAATGCAGTTGTCACAGTGCATATGAAAAACAACAGTTATTGAGTGCAATCATATAAAAATTGAAAGTTGAGCCGTTTGGGTAGTAAGTCACATAACAGCTGCGCTTGAATTAACGGAAATGCATGGCAATTGAAGCCGAAATTGAGTAAAGCTTTGTCACTGACCAATCGGTGAATGACTCAGACGCGCCCAGAGCCTTGGAAGTCGTGACTAAGCTCTCCAAACTCGAGTGCAAATGAGTAGGCTTAATGTTAAAGCTCACTGTGTGAGTGTGTCTGTGTGTGTGTGAGTGTCTTAGTTTCAGTCTTTCATTCATTTGCATGCCCCGGTCGCAGTCGAGTAATTCTAGCATCTAGATAAACACTCACGCTCTCTGCAGCTACCAGCCCGCCCTTCCACTCTCTCTCTCTCACTCACTCTCTCGCAGCCCACTGTGCAGCGCCTGCTTGTTGAGCGCTAAAGTGGCCGGCCTCAATCAATACAAGTGCAATATTCAGATTGCGAGCTGCACTCTAGGCATCTGTGTGTGGGTGTTTAAGCACGCGCTTACGCAAATTTCATTTTTAATTAGTAACTGCCCCAGTCGCAAAATCGTTGAGCTGATTTCCCATTGGCAGTTGGTTTAATTGCCAGCTGATTGCTTATGGCGTTTCGAATTGCCTTCAGGCACGCCAGCGGCTAATATGGCCATAACCAAGGCAAGTTCAGGCCCACAAAAATCTAAAGCAACAGCTTGCGGGGGTGGGGGCCACAACAACAGTTAGGCAAAGTTCGATTATTCAAAGTTTTTTTTTTATTCA